GTAGCTCATCATTGATGATCTCATTGCGCCGCAGGGCAAAGGTAGTCTGCATTAACTTTTCAATCAAGGGAAGGTTTTTATCACTCCTCGTAACTTCATCTACGATTTGGAGTCTCAATCGCTCGAGGCTTGTACCATCTTCACCCAGTGGGAAATTAGGCAAGAAATTCACCTCTGCCCTCTTTGGTCTTTTGATGTTAGAGTCAGATTGAAGAAGCCATATATCTGCCAGTTGCTTCAGTTTCCTAAAGAGAAAAAACATTGAAGGTTAGCTGGGTTGCAAAGTTTTCACAAAATGATCTGAGAAACACTATTTTCGAACCTAAAATGGCAACACAGTTTCACGGCATTTCGTGTTATAGTCACGAAATTAATCTATTGATTCGTGTTCACCAACACGATTTCGCCATTTTTTTCGTGTCACACAGAACGATTTTAAAAGCAATCTAAATAATATCAAATTAGAAGGAAAAAGACATTTAAAAAAATACAGATTTCAGTATTCTGACACAGAACGATTTTAGAAGCAATGTATTTATATTGGTAGTATGTTTCGTGCCTGCACCAAATAATAACAAATTAGAAGGAAAAAAGATGACATAAAATACAGATTTCAGTATTCTGAGGCTCTGAGCCATTTCTTTTCCTCACTGACGGCAAAAAAACTCAGACATTATACAATTTAAAATAAAAGGGATAGGGTTAGGCTTAGGGTAAGATATTGAGTAAGAACATGTTTTTATGAACCACACAGCTTCCGGTCTTCCAAGACCCGACCGGACAAAAAGACGTGTTGCAGGCACGAAACATACTACCAATAGAAATACATTGCATTTAAAATCGTGTTGGTGAACACGAATCAATAGATTAAATTAATTTCGTGACTAATAACACGAAATGCCGTGAGACTGGGTTGAAAATGGCGGCAGGACGCTCGCTTTTCTTCTTTTTTGTTACCGCATGCATGTCTGTGCATGTTTTATTAGCTTGGAGGCATAGAGGATTTACGTTAATTTTATCCACTAACGTTTTAACATAACCGTGCATTCTGAATGTTTGTAAAAAGCAAGCTAACTTGAAACACTAGACTATTAATCTGTTAAACCGGGCAGCCACCGGTACAGAGGGCTTTTTGTTCACGAACTTTGTCTCAGGGCTTCTTAACATTTAAAAACCTATTAATGTGTCATACCCACTTAACGAAACTCACCTAACTGACGATACGAACCATTTTTACCGAAACAAAACACAAGTCTCACAAGAAGCGTCTAAATTAGCCCGGAGCGAAAAAATGCCTAACTCACGGTAGAAATACTTTATTACTTATCAGATTAAAGCTGAGATTCCACAGACTCTAGAAGTATTAGTATAATCACTGTGCAAATCATTACCTTTGCTAAGTTACATGTAATTGAAAACGCTGGGGGGTATAATTACCTTGTAAAATGAATAGTCTATTGTTTCAAGTTAGCTTGCTTTTACTAACATGCAGAACGCACGGTTATGGTACATTGTAGTGGATCAAATGAACGTAAATCCTCTATGCCTCTAAGTTAATAAAACATGCCCAGACATGCAGTAAAAAAAAAAGAAGAAAGAAACGCGCGGCCTGCCGCCATTTTAGGTTCGAATTTTCCAGAGAACTTTTGCAACACAAAACGTTTCCACTTTGAGATATAACTTAAAACAATATAGAAATACTGTCTTACACGTAAGTTAAATCATTTTTCAAGTAAGGCAGATATTAAATGTAGGCTAGCTAACAAGAGCTTAAATCAAACTAACACACCATGCGACACAAAGTGCATTAGATGCAGAAATTAATAAAACATCATTTAAATACTGTGCAAAGGCAAGACGTAACTCACCAGAGTAGTGCGGCCAAAAAAAGGATCAAGATTCCGGCAGTGAGTGCAATCAGCAAGGTGGGGAAAGTATTCTTAAAAGTATGAGCGATTCAACCGAGGCGAGGAGCTAATGGCGGACTCTGGTGAAGGCATGGGTGAGAGAACGTCTACGCACGTCGGGGGCGGAGCACATACGTGATGACGTCAGACCAGCGTCAGACAGATTCAGTAAAAATGTTTGAGTACAATCACCAATATGACCCAAAGTGGTTGAACACTGTATACACAATATTAAAAATCAGTTCATAGTCATCAAAACATTAGCGGTGAATTAACTTTTTTAAATGTTTGAGTTAAAACAACCCATTTTCTTTCAGAAGCTTGTAATGTTCGGTCTTACAGTGTATCAGCCCACCCCCCCCTCCCCCTCACATACAGGTGTTACATCCTCTCAGGTAGCCCCCACCCCCCTCAGCCCCCACCCCTCTCAACCCCCTCCTCCTCCCCCCTCCTGTCCGGTCGGCATGTTCGTTACAGTTTAAATCTTCCGGGGCAAAATTAGAAAAGTGCCGGTTAAAGGTCTTCTATGTTATTTAATGAGCTTTGAAACAAACTGATATGATTCGATATTAAACCAACTAATTATAGTAGATTAATTAACTATTCAAAACGTGTACAGTAATTTACAATAACACGGGAATAATAAACGGACTGCTCTCCCCCTCACGACAACACGCCAGTATCATGCAGCTCGCGCGTCCAATAATGAGTGACTCGACAGTAAAACTAAAACATATCTATAACTAGTTTAGGTAGTTTGAGAGGTAATTAAAATAGCTACGTGTGATATCTGAAGAGGGTGTTTTGTTCCGCTCACCGCATGCAGAGATGCATGTCGAATAGTCCACAGCACCGGGTCTCCCCCGTCAGCAGCAGCACCGGGTCTCCCCCGTCAGATTAGACGTTACTAGCGTTTATGTTCATAACGATCAGATATAGCTAGTTCTAGCTAATGATATGACTACCTGCTTATTAAAAGACACCTAAACAATAAGCGTCACTATGCAACGGGGTGAGGCCACAAAGTATAGCACAGCATTATGCATTTTGTTTACATGCCCACCGGAACCCTGAGGCATTTACCAACAGATCAACGCGCAATCAACCCATACAGGACATCTCTTTCTACACATTATGTGTAGACATTATAATTGACTATTCTTGTCTTCTGATGTTCAATTACATCACCCCCTTAATAAAATAATCCCTATATGAAGTTACATGAGGCTACATTTACTGGTGTTGAGCCCTGGATGATGAAAATAATCTAAGTGTCATGTTAGGGGAACATTACGGAACTCAGGAGTCCGCCCTTTGAGGCATTGTTAACATTAATGCTTTTGTTTTTGTTACTAAGATACTTTTTAGATACACTTTTGAAGTAAGCACCACTCTACAACTGGTAGAAAGTTAAGTACTTTGTATGGAATTGGGTTTTCTTTAGAGCTGTTTTCAGTGAGACAATGCAGTTTCTGATCATTTTAAGTTTCAAGTTTCAAGGCTTTATGGCATATGCCCATTAGCTACAGTGTAGATATGTCAATGGAAAAACATAGGTCACAGGCTCCTCCAACAGTGCACATAAAACAGATAAAATACTGCAATTTTTGCGTAATTCTCTCACAAAGGAACTGTAAGATACACGTTTATGTATGGAAAACTATATAACTTGGTAAAATATTCATTCATTTGTAATGAATTGAGTTTTCTTCAAGAATCAAACTCTAAATGGAGAGTTTGTGATTTTAACACTGTTTCGATGAAACAATGCAGTTTTGATAACTTGACTTGACTAACATTACTTTTTTAAATATATGTTTTTAGATGTTTTACTTTTGATTTCTTTCATATTATTTTAACACAACATTACTTTTTTCATATTTTTCAACATACTGTGATATATATATATATTTTTTTTTCTCCATTATATTTTTGAATATACAGTGATTTGTATCAAAATACAACATGCAACTATTACATTATACAATATTATGGCTTTTTGCGATATTTTCAACACAATATACTTTTTTTTTTTTGTAGGGCTTCAGGATATTGGGCATGTCATGCATAAAACCGGTGTCATCTTTCCTGAAACTGACGTGCTGTCCGTTTTACAAACAAGTTATCTTTCTGCTTCTTCACCCTCTGAATTTTCCTCCCCCATCCCTCTTACTTCAGCCATCACAACAGCAATCAAGTCAGATCTGTGAAATTAAACACCTCTTCCCAAAGCGTGACTTCCCTATTGAGGGAGTGGGGCAGTGGGGCCTAACCCGATTTGGCCAAATATACTAACATGCAGAACATATGGTATGTTTGAAAAAAGACTAACCATCTATCCAGTTCAAGCTGTCTTTAAGATGTGACATTGCGCTCTGACTTTTTCCCGTAAAATCGTGACAAACTATTACTTATTAAATTTGACCTCATGCTGCTTGGTTGAAAATGATAGATGAGCATTTACCAACAGATCAACGCGCAATCAACCCATACAGGAGCTCTCTTTCTACACATTATGTGTTATCACTATAATATCATGTCATTATTTAATGTTGTTTTGTTTGTGTGTGTGTGTACAACGAAGTCTCTTTGAGAGGAAAATTATAATTTAAAGATCTTAATACCTCCTTATTGTTTAATTACTTCACACAAACTATTAAAGAATCCCTATATGAAGTTACATGAGGCTACATTTACTGGTGTGCTTCCCTAGATGATGTAAATAGTCTAAGTGTCATGTTAGGGGGGCATTACGGACCTCAGGAGTCCGCCCTTGGAGGCTTGGAGAGCGGATAAAGAGAGGTGTATTTACTGGTGTTGAGCCCTGGATGATGTAAATAGTCCAAGTGCCATGGAACTCAGGAGTCCGCCCTTTGAGGCGTTGTTAACATTAATGCTTTTTGCTTTTGTTTTTGTTACTAAGATACTTTTTTAGCCTTATGATAGGATGAACTTAAGCTGTAGTCAATAAAGACATGTTTAATAGAGTGTTGCTGTTAGAGAACATACCTGCGCAGCACTCCACCACGTCTTGGCTTTGGCTTCATGGCCTTCACTGTCCTCTCCCTTTGAGTTTTTTCAAAGGCTGGGATACATTTTTCCAAATGATCACTTGTTACCTGGTGACAAACATATGGTTATATAACCTTAAAGAACTAACAAAAAATAATTAAGTATTTGCAATGCATAAACATAGAAGATATCACTGTCATATTATGATCACTTATTGTAAGTAAGTTTAAGTAAAACTAACACAAGTCAATATTATTCACCTGGGCATTAGTGGGCTTGAGGGTCTCAGGGAGCGTGGACAAAGTGACTTGTCTCTGTATTTGAGGATTCTCAGTGCAGGCACTAACAGGAAGCTGCTGTGCATTAGTGGAGAGTCCTCTGAAGGCAGCTGTTATTTCATTCACACACTCATCTGTTACCTGCTGACTCCTCATAGTAAGTCTAGCCAAGTCAGCTGTTAACCTGTTCCACTCTGAGCCTGTTTTTCAGGTCTCAGGCTCGAAAATGACATTCCCAGAACAAATGACCATATCTTCCCTTCTAAAAGGGTTAAATTAATAATCTTTGTTCTCAAAGTAATGATAAACCTGTGAGTTGGATGTAGAAGTGTCAGAATCAATATAAATGTTTTTTATTTTAAAGAAAATTCAGATTTTACATAGTAAAAAACTGTAAATTATAGTGTCCGTCCAAATATTATTTTTTACAGATAGTGAAAACTACCCTTGGATGATGGGTTAGTAGACTAAAAGCTTTAGGAATCCAAAGTACAACATATAATAAGTACTCTGTATCAAGATTGATGCAAAACAAGTGAAATTTGACCTTTTTAGAGAGATTTAGCCAAAAACTGGGCCATCTGGGGTCATTTGGGTGGATTTGACCTATCTTTGGCCCCCCTTGCTCGATTTGGTTGGTTGACATACCCTTGTGACCGTTAGAGCCAATAGAATCGAAGCGGAATCCCACCAACACACGTTGTAAAGAAAAAATATGGTTGCTTCGCGTGTGGAAAGCGAAACCAAAGTGGAGGAATGTCTCCTTCTGGAGTTTGGAAACTAAAACGCAGTTGTATTGCTTATGGATTATCAGAAATAATTTCAAAGAAGGCACAGACACATAGGATGAACCTATGGATTAACTGCAGCATCGTTTTTTTATCGTTTTAATGCCATTGAAGACCACTTTTGACCAAGGTAAGCCATATTTACGTGTTTAGCTTCTTAGCTCCACATGTGATGATGTACGCTTTCGTTTAGAGCGTCGCGAATGTTTATCACTGAGTGTTGAGGAGGGCACTGTTAGATTCAGTGTCTCCAGGACACCAAAAAAGAGTGTTTGGTTGTGCATCTAGGATAAGTAATAAGGGAGTTCTGAGTGAGTTTATGTGTCTTTGTAGGTTACGTTTTTTCGTCGAGGCTAATTCAGAGGCTGAGTGCTAGCATTGTGGGTTTTTTTTTTGAAAAAAAAAATTAAAAAGATCAGTTAGCTGAGTTTCTTCCCGTTACATGGATATAACACATTCATAGTTTTATTCAATATTAAGATTCCTTAGACGTTGTTTCCTGCAAATGACGCGTTTATTCCGCCCGGTACCGGGGGGAAGGTGTGTGAAACAGGTTAAAGTATTTCGTGAGGCCTTCTAAAATGTTTTTAAATATAATTAGGGTTGTAGTTGAAGAGTTTGTAAATTGTTCAGGCAACGCAATCGCACAACGGCACGTCCGTTAATTCCACAACCACACACATGGATTAACATCGATTTAATACATTAATGTAGCCTTTGTTTCTGCTAAAAGAGGTGTCAACCAGCTGGGGCAACAAGAAAATCGGCGAAATCGAGTGTGACTATTACAAAATAAATAATTCTTATATTAATATTGACAATAACAACCGACCGTCGGGGTAGAGCATTTGCCGGGGAGCGTTCTCATGGCGTCTATTATCAACGCTATGGGAGGTCTATGAAGGTCTATGGGACGCCCTGCCCGTTGAAAACTGACGCTCAAGGGGTACCCTGTGCGTAATAGGGTGACGGGGAGGGGCCCTGACCGACCGTCAACATGTGACGGGTTGGGAGTGAGAACGTGTTGGAAAGTCTCTGTCCTGTCGATTACACCAAACAGTTCATCCAGCGCTGTGTTGTTGTCAGCATGTGGGGGGAATGTACACAGCTGTAATCACAACCGATGAAAATTATCTTGGTAGATGGAAAGCCCGGCATCCTATCATGAGGTGTTCTAAATGAGGGGAACAGTACGAAGAAATAATCCCCACGTCTGTGCACCAGTTATTGTTTATCATGACGCACACACCTCTTCCCTTGCTTCTCTCTGAATTAACAGTCCGATCCTGGCGAAAAATAGTAAATTTGTCGGGGCAATGGCGGAGTCCGGGACAGCGGAGTAGTTGAGCCAAGTCTCCGTGAAAATGATCACGTTACAGAATTAAGTTAAAATTGGTGTTAAAAAAGACAACATGCATCCTTGTGTCTGTAGTCAGTGAGCTTACAATTTGATGTAGTACCAAAACCAACAACCCAGTTGTTGTCTCCGGTGTTGAAGGTGCTGTTTGCAGAGGCCAAGCACACCGGCTGGATGTAGTTGGTAAACGTCACCGGGCTCGACAGCTTCAGAAGAGCCATGTCGTTATCAAATTCGTTGAGAAGGTCGCCGTAAGCAGGATGGACTATGATCTTATCAATTGCCTTAGACACGTTGTTCAAGTTTGGACCAGACATGCTTTCGAGGCCCAGAACAACCGTCATGTTGCGACTTGAAGACAAAGAATCAACATGGTAAATGTAGTTTTGTGACTTTAAGCATCCAGAGTACTGATTGATCAATTATCTCATCTGGCTCTCAACTAGGAAGCAACAAATGAACAATTACTCTAAAATATCTAAAAAAAACTTGATCAATGGTGACTCCTTACTCTGGGTTGCAGTGAGCAGCAGTCAGAACCCACATATCGCTGATCAGGGACCCTCCACAATGGTGCATGCCATTCACTTGTATACTGGCTACCCAGGGCCAAGTTCCTGCAGCCGCATTTTGACCTCCCACAATTCTGAGGTTGTTTGGTGCCCGGCCACATGCTGACAGAGAAAAGAGAACAGATTAGACATGGACATGTAGAACCAGTGCTTTTCATAACTCACTGAAGGAATCTTGAAGAACTTGTTATGTTGCTCATATACGCTTACCTGGCTGCTGTTGTGAATGACATCCTGAAATTGAGAACACGGACAGAAAAATGTTATGCAAACGTCTTGGTTGAAACAAACGATGACAAGCATTTAGTGGTGTAACAATTCACATATTTTATTTAAGTAAACTACACGCATAGTTCCTGTGTTGGAATTTTACTGAGGTCAGATGATTGACTTTAGTTAGATAAATATTTAATTGATAATTCATAGAACATGGCTTGTTGCTTGATTGACTTGGCTGGTTCTGTTGTACCAAAATCAATTTGTTTATTTTTTCAATGTAAAAATCGTATTTGTAAACTACCTAGTATCTAGGTAAGTGAAAGTAGTACAGTATATAATATATTCCCTTTGATTTGTAGTGGACTTGAGTATTATCTTTTCATTCTACCTTAAACTTCAAGTACTTCATTATTTTACTTCAGGAAATGCACCTACGATCCATCCTTGCATGCCTTTTATGAGCACACATCAAAAACAGACATGATATTCGAACAGAGGGCCTGCTTTATTGAAGGCAGAAATGTCCTCTTCCGAAATATTTTGAAAACATGAACATATCCTTTCAGTTCACTTTAAAGTCTGACTTGTCGTGACACAAAATCTGCAGTCTAGCCCATCCGAAACTCCTGATGTACTTACTGATAATGCTTTATTTCTGACATTAGTTTGATAAACTTTGCACAGCACGTTTTGTCCAATATAGAATAGAACACACTCGTGCTCATTTTATCTCAGCAACCAAAGTGAACACGAGAACACCAGAGAATTCATAAGTGCAAAATAAAATAAAAATTGAAAATACGGCAACAAAAAATCGGCTCAACCAGTTTAATTTTCTATTAAATCCAATTCTTTTGGGGGGTTTTTCGACTCATTTGCTAACGATGGGGACACAAAATATTCCTGTTTTTGAGAGGATTAAAAAAAACACAATGACTACAATGGGTTTCATATTACTTGACGGTCCATTGACCCAGATGGGTAAACCTAGTTTGGAATATTTCACTTCTGCACTGCCTCTCCAGCAGACAAAACCATTTCAAAGACTAACCCAAATCAAAGTACCAATACTTTTGCTGACCATGTTATTAATACTTTTTTTAAATAAAGAAATAGAAAGACTAGATCCAATCAAAATAGTGCAAGAAAAAAATCCAAATAAAGCTGCACGGTTAGCACTGATTACAAGCACTTTGACACTTCAGTGACTTTAATTGATTGTCCTTCACATGCACTTGAACTCCTTTTGATCACATTATAAAATCAGTTATGTTCTAGTTATTAGTAGATGAAATATTTACTCTTTAATTTGAAGGAAGATTTAGAGATCAGCTACACAATCTCTACTATTTTGGTCCCTTGAGATACCAACATCAACTCAAACACATTAGCATAATATCATTTAACAACAAAACATTTGTAACCGTTTAAAGAAAGATCACATAAACGTTCTCACCATTGGATAAGGGAATGCTCTGGTTTTTGGACAAAATTAACATGGGATCACTCCTGTCACCGGACGTACTTCGTCTCACTGGAATAGTAACGGTCATAGTGAATATAAAATCGTCCCCATGTATCCGGCCAATGACGGGAGAGTTTTGAAAGAGACAAAACACTGTTCCATACATTTAAAAACACTTAAACAATTAAACAATGTTTACCTGCCAACAAGCAGCAGTGTGCTGTCATTTCAAACATGTTACCCCACTGTTTAACACAGTTTTACCTGTGTTTTGAAGACTCTTTCCTGGGTCATTCTGTGCTCCAATGTGTCCTCTTTCTCCCCCCCTGGGTGTGTGTGAGACAAGTCAAGTGAGTCAGGCTGCCAACAAGCAGCAGTGTGCTGTCATTTCAAACATGTTACCCCACTGTTTAACACAGTTTTACCTGTGTTTTGAAGACTCTTTCCTGGGTCAATGTGTCCTCTTTCTCCCCCCCTGGGTGTGTGTGAGACAAGTCAAGTGAGTCAGGCTGCCAACAAGCAGCAGTGTGCTGTCATTTCAAACATGTTACCCCACTGTTTAACACAGTTTTACCTGTGTTTTGAAGACTCTTTTCCTGGGTCATTGTGTGCTCACCAGGGGCACGAGAATACCCTCCACAGAAGGGGTCGTGGTTCCGTGAAGAAGGCCGAATTTGGGTGCTCATAGGCAGCCTGCTGCAGAGTCATTTTCAGGCTCCTCTCCACAATTGTCCCCCTAAAATGATTTAAAATCATTATTTTTGCATTTAAATGCATTTATTCTATCATTTATATGGTTCCCCAACACAATGCACATAGTCTGGAGCTCACTGGGGTCCTGCATATAATTTAATCAGGCGTTTTAACACTTTTTCCCATGAAAATGATTTTTAATCACTATCATGGGGCTATGAAAATAAAATTCCGGGTATGCAGAGCACAAGTGCACCTTTTACTATTTAAATGTATTTGTATTATATATATTTGGGCTAGAAAGGTGACCTCTCTGGGTGATTTAGTCAGTTTATGGAGCTTAGCCCACAAATCCTGGATGATCCAGGCCGAATTTGGGTGCTCATAGGCGGCCTGCCAGGCGCCCCCACCCGTGGAAAGCAAAAAAAATTGAAGAAAACGCTTAATTATAACTTAAAATAATCAAAAATGAAGTTTTGAAAAATTGTCAAAAAAATGACAGAGTGCCAACGGGAGAAGGGGCCAGACTATTGGCGCTTCAGGCCGATTTTTTCCCCTTCTCCGATGGTTGGTACAACGGAGAAGGGGAAAAAGTCCCTGGGCTTCATTTCCACTTCTCTGTTAAAAAGATTCATCCATACTTTTCAAACTACCGTCTGCACGAAATCGGAAACCCAGTTTTTGGGTGCACTCAGAAAAATAACGGCTGTTGCAAATCATGGAAGAATGTATCCGCTCACCAAGCACTTTGAGTGGGCCTAATTTTGTGGCGCAAGGACCCCCCAGCCTGGTTCTCTCAATACTTAAAGTTTGACATGGAGGAATGCGAGGGCACTTTGCAGGTGACTCTACCCGATTATGAGACACTATTTTGGGACGTATTTTTTACATTTCTCTGGTTCTCCAAATAGTTTAAGTTCGACATTTTGAGCCATGGAGGAATGCGAGGGCACTTTGCAGGTGACTCTACCCGATTTTGAGACACTATTTTGGGGCGTATTTTTTACATTTCTCTGGTTCTCCAAATAGTTTAAGTTCGACATTTTGAGCCATGGAGGAATGCGAGGGCACTTTCCAGGTGACTCTACCCGATTTTGAGGCACTATTTTGGGGTATAATTTTTACATTTTGACCCCTTTGCCCGGTTATCACCAAAGTTGAGTTGGATGATTTCGACCATGGAGGAATGTCAGGGGAGTCCGCGGGGGACTCCTGCGGGGTCATGAGGCACTATTTTGGGGTACAATTTTTACATTTTGACCCCTTTTCCCGGTTCTCACCAAAGTTGAGTTGGATGATTTCGACCATGGAGGAATGTCAGGGGAGTCCGCGGGGGACTCCTGCGGGGTCATGAGGCACTATTTTCGGACACTTTTTTCCCATTTTCCCCCCTTTTGCCTGGTTCTTTTTATTTTTATTTTTTTTCCTGTTTTGGCCCGTTTGACCCGGTTCCTTCTGCCGGGGGCACTGCCCGGTCCCGGGTGCCCCCCCAGGGCTCGCGTACAGCCGTTTCACCCCCCACATTGACGGATTTTGACCCCTTTGCCCGGTTCTCACCAAAGTTGAGTGTGATGATTGCTGAGTCATGATGCACTATTTTGGGGTACATTTCCCCCATTATCAACACGGACTAGAGATGTCTCGGAGATGGCTCGGAGCCCACACCCTGGTTCTATGTAACCCTGGAGGAATGTCACATGAGTCGACAGGGGACTGCTGCTGGCTAATGAAGGACTATTTTGGGGTACATTTCCCCCATTATCAACACGGACTAGAGATGTCTCGGAGATGGCTCGGAGCCCACACCCTGGTTCTATGTAACCCTGGAGGAATGTCACATGAGTCGACAGGGGGACTGCTGCTGGCTAATGAAGGACTATTTTGGGGGTACATTTCCCCCATTATCAACACGGACTAGAGATGTCTCGGAGATGGCTCGGAGCCCACACCCTGGTTCTATGTAACCCTGGAGGAATGTCACATGAGTCGACAGGGGACTGCTGCTGGCTAATGAAGGACTATTTTGGGGTACATTTCCCCCATTATCAACACGGACTAGAGATGTCTCGGAGATGGCTCGGAGCCCACACCCTGGTTCTATGTAACCCTGGAGGAATGTCACATGAGTCGACAGGGGACTGCTGCTGGCTAATGAAGGACTATTTTGGGGTACATTTCCCCCATTATCAACACGGACTAGAGATGTCTCGGAGATGGCTCGGAGCCCACACCCTGGTTCTATGTAACCCTGGAGGAATGTCACATGAGTCGACAGGGGACTGCTGCTGGCTAATGAAGGACTATTTTGGGGTACATTTCCCCCATTATCAACACGGACTAGAGATGTCTCGGAGATGGCTCGGAGCCCACACCCTGGTTCTATGTAACCCTGGAGGAATGTCACATGAGTCGACAGGGGACTGCTGCTGGCTAATGAAGGACTATTTTGGGGTACATTTCCCCCATTATCAACACGGACTAGAGATGTCTCGGAGATGGCTCGGAGCCCACACCCTGGTTCTATGTAACCCTGGAGGAATGTCACATGAGTCGACAGGGGACTGCTGCTGGCTAATGAAGGACTATTTTGGGGTACTTTTTTTTCATTTTCACCCAAATTTCCCTGGATGAAATATTTTTTAGTTTTTTTTAGTTTTTAGCCCAGTTTTGGCCACAGCGTTGCCTGGAGGATAGGACCGAGATATGACAGACTCTCTGGCCGCCTCACAAGTCACTATTGTCGGACACTTTCTTTGCTTTACCCCGGTTCTATCACTCTTTCCTCCTTTGACCATACAACCCGTTTCCTGCTGGGGTGGTGCCTGGTTCCGGGGGTACCCCAAACCCTCTCATGGTCGGGGCACCATGTATTGATGCATCGGACCCAATGTTGCCATCACCAGCCCCGCGTTGGTGCGGAAGTGGGACCATCTGACCCGGTGGTAACCCAATACTTCCCTTCGTCCATGCACCATGAATTGATGCATCGGACCCAGTGTCGCAACCACCGCTCACGCTAACGCATATAAACGGAGAACTATAACATAATTTTGATCAAAATCATTATGTGTGTTTCAGGAAGGATGTCATCTGAATGCCCGGTGTGCAGACTCTTCTATCTGGCATTGAACAAACACCTTAAGCACAAGCATGCAGTGCGGAACTTGGAGGAGAGGGGAATCCTCCTGAAAATAGCCAGTGGAAGGATAAATGTTCGGACCAAACCCTGTCCCATCGCTGGGTGTTCGTACGCTGGGAAGAGACTGGACCGTCATGTAAAACATGACCACCCTGAGTTGTCCCGACATAAGGCACATCAGGTCATGGCAAGGCTGAAGCATAGTGTGGCACTGCAGTTGCTCCATGACCTCCGTGAGACTAACCCCATCATTGGAATGGCTACATCATTGGATATAGACAATGAGGAGGAATACCCCGGGCACCCTCCACCCTTCTCCCCACATACCGAGTGTGACAACGAGGACTGCAGGCAGGTGATGCTGGAAAATGTGGCATTGAGGGCTCAGAAGGATGCCCTCAATGATGAGGTGAAGACCCTGCGCTCCAGGCTGAAAAAGGAGCTAAAACCCAGGAAGCAGAGTGCTGCTGTTCTTGAGGAAGAGGACGAATGTATACGATTTAAGGGCCTGGCAATCCCAAATACCTCCGGCATAAACACAGTAGCCTCAGGCAGCAATACCCCTGTGAAGAGCCCGGTGAAGACTGTCATGCAGTCCCCAGTAACCTCCGGTAGCGAGACCCCTGTGAGGAGCCCGGTGAAGACTGTCATGCTTGCAGTAGCCTCCGGTGGGAAGAGACCGGTCAAGAACCCTGTGAAGAGCCCAATGAAGACTGTCATGCTTGCAGTAGCCTCCGGTGGAAAGAGACCGGTCAAGAACCCTGTGAAGAGCCCAGTGAAGACTGTCATATTACCCAGTTTCCTCCGGTAGCGAGACCCCTGAGAAGAGCCCGGTGAAGACTGTCATGTTTGCAGTAGCCTCCAGTAGCGAGACCCCTGTGAAGACCCCGGTGAAGACTGTCATGTTTGCAGTAGCCTCCGGTAGCGAGACCCCTGTGAAGACCCCGGTGGAAACTGTCATGTTTGCAGTAGCCTCCGGTAGCGAGACCCCTGTGAAGACCCCGGTGGAAACTGTCATGTTTGCAGTAGCCTCCGGTAGCGAGACCCCTGTGAAGACCCCGGTGGAAACTGTCATGTTTGCAGTAGCCTCCGGTAGCGAGACCCCTGTGAAGACCCCGGTGGAAACTGTCATGTTTGCAGTAGCCTCCGGTAGCGAGACCCCTGTATGCCGGAAGACCCGTGCCTCTAAGCTGGCTAATGACTTGCCCTCTCCCTCAAATTACTGGTCCACTGGGTGTGGACGGGGGAATACCATGCGTGAAATCACGTTGCCTAGAAGCATGGAGGCGTACCTTCAGACATACTTGGATCACTGTTTGGGTGTCGCTCCGACAGTAAAACAGAAAGACAATGTTGTGTCGAAGATCAGCCGGATAAAGAACTTCATAGTATACATGGCCCATGGTGTTAACCGCCTGTCAGACTGGCTGTTCCTAAGAAACATGAAGATGATCCGTGGCTGGAGCGAGTATATTGTAAAGCCGGGCCGGGCAGTCACAACATCAGAGTTCTTCCTGAAGAATGTGCACCAGTTCATGGGGTACATGTCTGAGTCAAAGCCCCGGGGGTGCAAGCTCACCCAGTCTGATATGACCCACATAATGAGAGAGGTGAAAGCCAACATGAAACACTTGAATAAGGCAGTCACTCTACATCAGTTTAAGGTGAAGAGGAACAAACTGGATCGTCTGCCGAGCCAGGCGGAGCTTCTCGCCGCCATGGCGGCCGCTGAGAAGCGCATCCCGGAGCTCCTCGACCTGATGGCCGGCACGCCGACCTCAACCACCCAGAAGCTTCTCTATGGCTATCTCACCCTCCATTGGAGCCTCCTGTATGGCCACCGTACGGGCGTGTACGCAAACATGAAAAACAGTGAGGTCTTAGAGGCAGCCATAAGGGGAACTGCTGAGGGCTACATCATCCATGTGCAGGATCACAAGACGGCCAAGACATATGGCGAAGCACAGCTGGCGCTTACAGTAGAGGAGTTTAGCTGGGTCATGCGGTGGATGGGGATTAAAGAGGCATTGCTGGGTCCTCAGAATGAATTCTTCCTTTTCACAAGGGGGAATCGGGCCTCCAAGAACCTGAACGCTCACTTGAAGAGGGCATGGGCTGATGCTGGGCTAGAAACAGCCGTCACCTTCACAATCCTGCGCACTGCCCTGGCTGACAATATCAAGCATCACCAAGATCCAGAAAGCCGGTCGATTCTCGCCAGGTTTATGTGTCACGACGTAACCACGGCGGACCGGTTCTACGCGAATGCGCCAGGTATAAAGGAGGCATTGAGAATCCGCTCCATGTTCAGGGCGTCATCAGATGCGGCAGCAGCTGCATCATCATCAGAAGGATGTCTACCGCTGTCAGATGGGGAGACCTCCGAAGAGGGCTGCTATAACAGTACAGCTCTATCATCTTCACCTGATGGGTCATTGGAGCGGCAGCAGCAGCGGAAGCGGAAGCGGGAGGGAAAGAGGCCAATGAAGTCGGGACCGGGGCTGGTTGACACTCCTGATGATGGGGCAGGGGCCGTGGACTCAACCTGTTTGCCCTGGTGCACCGTAAGAATTAGACGCCTAATTTGGTCCCCTGAATCCCGCTAAACATTGTGAATATGTATACCGTGTATATAATTATTATTATAATCCTGTGTATACATTTTGTAAATAGTACAATATCTCCAGGGCGCATAACTGCACTTTACAAGCCAGGAAAGGTGCCAGAATCCTGGGCATACATTTTGTTAATAGTGCAACACCTCCAGGGCGCATAACTGCACTTTAAAACGTAGGTTAAGAAATTTAGTAGTACTGTTATAGTAGCAGTAGTACGTGTAAATAGTTTATGTTTTAGCCTCTCTGTACTGTCAACTGTGTTTTTTGTTCAAATAAAATAAAAAAAAAAAAAAAAAAAATAACCTTGATGGTTACCAGGGGCAGAAAAAGTGCCACTTTCCATCAGCACCGGGGAGGCACTCTCCTTGGTGCTGAACCCTGTGATGAGCGCTCAAGTGTTGGCGGAGGAGGTGTAAGCCAGAGGAGGGTGAACAAAAGTTAAAGTGTTTGAAACCTCCAGCCCAGAAGGGGGGGTGATGCCGTGAAGAAAAGCCGAATATGGATGCTGATGGGCGGACACAGAAGCACCATAAAACCACCCCCTTGTAAGGTCACCAGGGGCACGAGAATACCCTCCAGCCCAGAAGGGGGGGGTGATGCCGTGAAGAAGGCCGAATATGGATGCTGATGGGCGGACACAGAAGCACCATAAAACCACCCCCTTGTAAGGTCACCAGGGGCACGAGAATACCCTCCACAGAAGGGGGGGTGATGCCGTGAAGAAGGCCCAATATGGATGCTGATGGGCGGACACAGAAGCACCATAAAACCACCCCCTTGTAAGGTCACCAGGGGCACGAGGTTCTGGTGGGTGTGAATACCTGTGTTTAGTCCGTGGGGGAGTGCTTAACTGTGGGGGCCCGGGGACTCAGGGTGTGCAAGGTTATGGAGGTCCCACTGTTAGGGGCCCATGCTGGAGGTAATTAGTCCGTCCTTGGGGCTCTGTGAGCGGGCAAAAAGAGGTGATTTCCCCCTGGTCTCTGCTGGAGGTGCAGAGTCCCACTGTTAGGGGCCCATGCTGGAGGTAATTAGTCCGTCCTTCGGGGCTCTGTGAGCGGGCAATGAGAGGTGATTTTCCCGGTCTCCGCCCTGGAGGTGTGAAATAAACAGAGTCCCCCTGTTAGGGACTGGTGCTGGAGGTCTCTAGTCCGTCCTTCGGTGCTCTGTGAGCGGGCAAAAAGAGGTGATTTCCCCCTGGTCTCTGCTGGAGGTGCAGAGTCCCACTGTTAGGGGCCCATGCTGGAGGTAATTAGTCCGTCCTTGGGGCTCTGTGAGCGGGCAGAGAGAGGTGATTTCCCCCTGGTCTCTGCTGGAGCTGTGAAAGAAACAGAGTCCCACTGTTATGGGGACATGCTGGAGGTAATTAGTCCGTCCTTGGGGCTCTGTGAGGGGGCAGAGAGAGGTGATTTTCCCCTGGTCTCTGCTGGAGCTGTGAAAGAAACAGAGTCCCACTGTTATGGGGACATGCTGGAGGTAATTAGTCCGTCCTTGGGGCTCTGTGAGGGGGCAGAGAGAGGTGATTTCCCCCTGGTCTCTGCTGGAGGTGCAGAGTCCCACTGTTAGGGGCCCATGCTGGAGGTAATTAGTCCGTCCTTGGGGCTCTGTGAGCGGGCAGAGAGAGAGGTGATTTTCCCGGTCTCCGCCCTGGAGGTGTGAAATAAACAGAGTCCCCCTGTTAGGGACTGGTGCTGGAGGTCTCTAGTCCGTCCTTCGGTGCTCTGTGAGCGGGCAAAAAGAGGTGATTTCCCCCTGGTCTCTGCTGGAGGTGCAGAGTCCCACTGTTAGGGGCCCATGCTGGAGGTAATTAGTCCGTCCTTGGGGCTCTGTGAGGGGGCAGAGAGAGGTGATTTTCCCCCTGGTCTCTGCTGGAGCTGTGAAAGAAACAGAGTCCCACTGTTATGGGGACATGCTGGAGGTAATTAGTCCGTCCTTGGGGCTCTGTGAGGGGGCAGAGAGAGGTGATTTCCCCCTGGTCTCTCCTGGAGGTGTGAAATAAACAGAGTGCTACATTTTTGTAAATAGTGCAATATCTCCAGGGCGCATAACTGCACTTTACAAGCCAGAAATAATGTTTAAATGGTCGGGGAAAGTATTTTTAAATGTCTGGAAGAGAGTTTTAGACAGTCATTTTGCACGAAATCATTTAACATAGACGCTCTCCTGAAAATGCACAGAATATGTGCTTTTTCAGGAGACCGTCAATGTTAAATGATTTCGTGCAAAATGACTGGCTAAAACCTCGGAATAAGTGTTTGAAAAGCGGGGAAAAGTTGTTTAAAATAGTCTGATACCTCCAGGGCGCATCACCAAAAATGTACAAGCCAGGGAAGATGCCTGAATCCCGGATACTTTAGGTCTGTCACTTAGGGTGACCGCACCACTCCGACGCTCCCGAGAGTGGACGTCCATTGTTTGTAAGGCACCTAAGAGGGATAAGGGAATGCTCTGGTTTTTGGACAAAATTAACATGGGATCACTCCTGTCACCGGACGTACTTCGTCTCACTGGAATAGTAACGGTCATAGTGAATATAAAATCGTCCCCATGTATCCGGCCAATGACGGGAGAGTTTTGAAAGAGACAAAACACTGTTCCATACATTTAAAAACACTTAAACAATTAAACAATGTTTACCTGCCAACAAGCAGCAGTGTGCTGTCATTTCAAACATGTTACCCCACTGTTTAACACAGTTTTACCTGTGTTTTGAAGACTCTTTCCTGGGTCATCTGTGCTCCCAATGTGTCCTCTTTCTCCCCCCCTGGGTGTGTGTGAGACAAGTCAGTTAGTCAGGCCTGCCAACAAGCAGCAGTGTGCTGTCATTTCAAACATGTTCCCCCACTGTTTAACACAGTTTTACCTGTGGTTTTGAAGACTCT